AGATGCTATGTCATCCATCCATGGCTTCACAACGTTAGTTAAGACACGCACATAAACCTCCTTTGTCACATTTTCCCCTTTTTGAAAGAAATGAGGTGGCATGACGTCACCTTCGGATGATACCACCCCTAACACGTGCACATTGGCCGGAAATTTTGTCCTAGACACAGTAGGGACATCCTCAGGGTCATGGGCAAGCCAGCGGTCATTTCGTCGATTAATTTTTGCGTCGATAGTGAAAATTTTCTCGTCGGAAAAGAACCTGATTCGTCCAGCAGCCTTGTTCCGTAAAGAGCACAGAAGGAGATTGCAGCTCTCTTCGTCCTGGCGGCTTCAGAAAGCATCTGTCTAACTTTTATGGTGTAGGACTTGTAGCGAAGGACTTCTTGAACAATCTGACGCACAGTTGTTTCACTAACATCGACAAGCGACGCAATTTTTCGGATCGATTGCCCTGGATCCTGAAAAATCAGTTCTTCAACGCGTTGAATGACCCAGGCGTCCTGACAACGCGCTCCTTCAAGTGCACTTTCCTCGCGAGTGTTGCGGAACCTTCCTCCGACTTCTTTTTTTTTTACGTGTGGAAATCCTTTATGGATACGCGGGCCCCCCTCCGGGAAGGGAGTTTACATTAAGTGGCCCGGGTTATGTGGGACTGCCCCCCTAATGGCGATCGGGTGCGGCCGCTGACATTGCGACCGCTGGGCTTACCGCACTAAAACCACACGGTGGACTGCGCTGTGCTTTACTTGGGGGACGCCCAGGACTTGGCAGAGCCATTACTTCTGGACGCCCCCCGTTCCTCCGACTTCTCAGACTCCTTGTACTTTGCCACAACATCGTAAACTGTGGATCTCGGGTATCCAAAGAACCGGATAATCTCTGTCACTGAGCGATCAGCGCGAACATTTTCAATGATCGCTGCTCTTCGGTTGTACTCCTGGCTTTGTCTCAACATTGCGACTGTTTTGAGGTTATGCCTGCTTAGTAGATGCGTACACGATATTTAGGAGCCAATTGCGACATCCGTAGGTGGTATAGAACAGCGGAAAATTCAAATTATGCCATTATGTCTCGTCCGGATGGAGACTATGTAGTCGTGCTTCTGCACGCACCTCGACAACAGATTTCAAAACACCGCAAAAATAAAAAGCGGTGACTCGCGCCTCTCCCGCGCTTCCGCGCGCTGCGCGCGCCGCGTGTCTTCATTGTGTTCTGTTCGTTACCTCAGACAACAGGTCCTTTTCGTAGATTCAGATTCGTCCTAATTTTCTTGTGCAATGCCGAAGCATAGAAGTAAGAAGAAACGCTCGGGACACTCAAGAGAAGAGGTGTCTCCTAAGTATCATTGGAGAGCTTACACTCGCGTCGAAGGATCGCGAGATCATTCGTCACGGAGAGAAAGATCGCGAAGTTCCCGTTCTTCGGCGGAGGTGCAGTCGTCAAGGGATCCCCCTGCTCGGCGTTCTCTTTCTAGGGAAAGTCTCATGGACTTTCTCGACCAGGTTCGCGATCTTATTACCCGGCAGGACAGCGATTTTAACCTACACGGCCGTGAGCAGCCTCAGGAGGTTAGGTTGCCGGAGGAATCCCCGCACGCAGATGAGGATCCAGCAGCGGGTGGTGTGGCTGTGTCACTTGCCCTAGAGGTGCAGAGCATAGAGGAACCGCCGGTCGCACAAGCTGACTGGGGCGTTGTACCAGGTATGTCCTCTTGTCGACCCAGACTTCCTTGATGTTATCTGGCAAAGAGAGGACATAACCGATGTGTTCCTTCTGTGTTTTATTCTGTTCAGCCGTTCCTGGAACTACTGGCGACAATGACGACAGACCCCCGTCCTCCTGGAATGTGTTATTCGCTGACCCACTCGCCACGGAGATTCCTGAATCTCAGAATGTTTCGGAAACGCAGAGTTTGGCTGCCGAGTTATTTGGGGAAGTTCAGGCACCTACTGCATCATCTGCCTGGAATACTCTTGTGCTAAATTCAATTCAGACAGAATCTCGTAGCGGTTTAGGCGAGGAGGTTCGTACCAGGCTTCTGTCCAGATACGAGGTGAAGGGAGATTTGGCGGCACTGGCCCCGCCAAAGCTCAATAAAGAGCTCGTCGCTGCGCTAACCCCTTCAGTCATTAAGCGAGACGAATACCAGTCGCTCTCACAAGCACAGGTGGGTGCCTGCCTCAACGCCTTCGGCTCAGACATGTCGCTATTATTTAAGCCGGAGGTCGTGCAGGGTCTGAACGAGGAGGCAAGATCTGCCTTGACCCATTTTTCAGAGGGCATCCATCTGCTCGCCGATCACCATTATCGTCTCTCGCTAACTAGGAGGGCTTTTACCAAAGCTTCCTTGAACATCATTGGCAAAAATGCAGCAGAGACAGCACCTATAGACGAGTTTTTGTTTGGTCAGAACTTCGCCGAGACCCTTAAGGTGGCACAGGCCTGCGAAAAGACAAGTCGTGAAGTATCGAGAGCTATACCTCAAGCGGGTAAAAAGACTCTACAGCCTGTTCGCCGGGAGACGCAGCAACGAAACCAGCCGCCTGCGTCCAATCCACGTTACTCGGGAAACCGGAGGGGCCCTGTTCGCCCACCATCGGCTCGCCGAACAGGAGCTTCCCATCAGAGCCGTCGCCATCACTCCCAGTCTCGGTCCCGGACTCGACGCCGACACTAAACAACGTAAGAACTGCTGGTCGCTTGGGTAGATATTACGATCAATGGCTGGATATTACCACGGATTCCTTAGTATTAGACGCAATAGCAGGTTACCGCATCCCTTTTACTGCTTTGCCTCCAATAAGGTCCTCCCTTTCTGAGCCGGAATTTTCTCAATCTAATGCTATATATTGCGATACGGAGATAGAACGTCTACAGCTCAAAGGAGCCATCGTTCCAGTAGAACCCTGTATGGATCAATTCCTATCGTCTTTCTTTCTCGTAGAGAAACCATCAGGTGGTAAACGCTTCATCCTCAATTTGCGGGAGTTGAACAGGTATATTGAGCCGCCACACTTCAAATTAGAGGATTGGCGAACGGTTATCCGACTTATGCTCCCAGGAATGAAAATGGCCACTCTCGATCTTGAGGACGCATACTTATTAGTCCCAATATTCGAGGAACATAGAAAATTTCTACGGTTTCAATGGCGCAGGACAACCTAAGAAATTCACTGGGCTTCCGTTTGGCCTTTGTTCAGCCCCTTACATTTTCACTAAAATCCTCCGCCCTGTAGTTACATATCTTCGCGAGAGAGGCTATCAATCTATTGTTTATCTGGACGATTTTCTCCTTTTGGGTTCTTCCACCGACGAGTGTCAAGCTAATGTCATCGCATCTACGAACCTCCTTCAGTTTTTGGGCTTTGTGATTAACTATTCCAAGTCTCACTTGGAACCGTCAGCTAGATGCAAATATTTAATTAAAATATATTTGCCAGTTATTGTCGATTTAATCCTTGAAATTGGTTTTTTATTTACTGGCGATCCACCTCTTCAAAATTGTTCTTATACACACCACGACTGAGACAATGGTGCTTTACCAAGACGGCTTCTTCAACAACATTTCAAGACAGTACGGAAACAACCACGCTATAAATTTAAAGATGTGGCTGAAAACCAGTGTTAAAATTTGCACCGCCAATCAGCAACTTAAATTCTTGCTACGATGTAGGAGTTACAATGTCTTTCCCACACATATTCGTAACATAAAATTAAATATCACTTTACATAATGGTAGTGTAAAAAATAGGTTTGTAAACCTCAAGAATCGTTGTCAGAAAACGCTGTTGAATCTGGAAATCAGGGATATACACTTCTGGCTATCTCATCTGAGACGATATATCCGAGATTTGGAGCACAGATTACGACTTGCCTTACCAGGTGAGATGATCAACAACTTTTTTAACTTAAACTCGACTATGTTACAAAATTACAACCGAACGACCAAGTCAAAATTAACAAATAAGTTCAATGGCTTAATAGTAGCACAGAAATCTGTCCTCCAATCGTTTCACTCGACTGACCGATCCAAATGGGTCGTTAATATTTGCGACAAACAGATTCCGCAGCGTGTTTTAGACATTGTAAGTTTGGGCGACAAGTTTGGTCTCCCCATCGACAATTCAAATAAGAGAGACCGACATAATTTTGTACTTGATGTTTTAAAGAATTTCGAATCGAACGCATATAAAATATCTGATGACATCATTGACGAGACACGATCCCAAATCAGCAACGCACTTGATCGCTTTCTTTGTGGAAAAAATCATTTTAATATTATTGACAAATTTCTTTTAAAAGAGTTTTCGTTCACTGACAAGTTTTTAAGAGATAATGACTCTGTTTTCGTGACCAAAGCGGATAAAGGTCAGGTGACGGTTATTATGAACAAGGACAACTATACTAGCCAAATGACCGAAGCATTAAACGATAAGAATACTTATAAGATACTTCCAAGAAATCCCATAAGACGAATTACCAATAGCCTACATGACCTAGTAAAATCGTGGCACGACAATGATATCATTAACGATATAACTTACAAACGACTTAACTGCACCAACGGCAATCTTCCACGCTGCTACGGACTCCCCAAAATACATAAACCCGGTTATCCCTTACGTATCATAGTTTCGACTATCGGTAGCCCTCTATACGTCATATCGCAATTCCTACACAAAATTCTGTTTGATTCAGTTTCGAAACCTATATCTCACATAAAAGATGGCTGGTCTTTCACTAATATTATCAACACGCACTCTATCCAACCACACGAAATTATGGTTTCTCTCGATGTGACTTCACTATTCACCAACGTTCCCAAAGAACTCGTACTTAGCGGAATCGAAAAGAGATGGCACGAGATCTCTGGCTCTACTGGTTTAAATCTACCACAGTTCCTCCACGCCATTGAATTAATTCTCAGCTCTACTAGTTTTATGTTTAATAACCGGGTTTATGAGCAAATATTTGGTACCCCCATGGGCTCACCGTTGTCCCCGATTCTAGCGGACATAATAATGGACGATTTAGAGACCAACTGTATGGAAAGATTAAACTTTGCGATTCCCGTATATTATAGATATGTCGATGACATCTTTATGATTCTACCCGCTAACAGACTTACTGACGTTCTCAACACATTCAATAACTATCACCCACGATTAAAATTCACGGTTGAAATTGAGAACAACAATACACTCAATTTTTTAAATACGTCTGTGTTCAGAGAGGATCGTAAACTCTTCACGAATTGGTATAGAAAACCAACGTTCTCTGGCCGATATATCAATTATTTTTCTAGCCACCAGACACGATATAAAATCAACACAATCATAAATTTGGTCGACCAGGCTGTCTTACTTTCAGACTCACGATTTCACGACGCTAATATTAACATCATAAAAGACATCCTCCTAAACAATTCTTATCCTCCTTCCTTTATCGACAAACATATTAATAGAAGATTACATCATTTGAAACACCATACTGGCTCAGACACAACGGTACCTACCGACATTAATCGAGATTTTACAAACAGCATCACCATCCCATATGTCGGGAATGTTAGCGACGTAATCAAGAAAATTTTACACAACCAACACATTGATACGCGTTTTTCAGCCTCTAAAAAATTAGATTTGTTGATAAGGAAAGGGAAGGATAGAATTGCTGATCCAAACCGTACTGAATTGGTCTACCAACTTAATTGTGTTGATTGTGATGCAATATATATCAGCCAAACTAAAAGACACGTTGTAACGCGCATTAACGAACATCGCAACGACATTAAAAAGCCTGTTGACAACCACTCAGTTGTCAGCAAGCATCGCAATCTTGCTGGACATGAATTCGACTGGTCCAACCCGTTAATCTTACACAAAGAACCACATTTTAAAAAACGCGAAATAGCCGAGATGTTCTATATAAAGAAGTCCCATGATTATACGATCAACCTTCAACAAGACACCGACAATTTAAGCGCTATTTATGATAAGATTGTACGCACGACTTAATCTCTATCCTATATTGTTTTCTTATTTATATAATTTATTTACCTGTCCCCCACTTGTTGTGTTTTACGTCCCGACAAATGTCGTTCTCTCTTCGAAATTTAACACCGTCATTGTCTTACCAGCCGTTTACAATACCTGACGCTTTTATTAGTTTTTAACCAACGTTATACATATTAATATAGTGATTTTATTCGACCATGCACAAAATTGCATACTTCGACATGTCACCCGTAAGTAACACCACTGTACAAGTATATCTCGCGTACTCGATTTCTGTACCTGCGCTCTAAACCTTGCAGATTTGCTGTCACACTTGGGTCAACACTTGAGAAGGACCAGTATTACTGGCCGAAACGTCGTGTAATTAATTAAAATATATTTGCCAGTTATTGTCGATTTAATCCTTGAAATTGGTTTTTATTTACTGGCGATCCACCTCTTCAAAATTGTGCAAATATTTAGGTTTCTTTTTTTATTCAGACGAACAATCTATTTCGATTCCCCGCCCCCGTCGGGAGAAATTACTATGCCTAACCTCAGGAATGGCTCGCAGGACAGAATGCTCTATAAGAGAATTCGCTAGTTTTATTGGTTCGCTCATTTCGGTATGTTCGGCTGTACAATATGGGCTCCTTTACACTAAGGGATTCGAGAGAGAAAAATTTTTGGCTCTTACTAAATGTAACGACAATTACTCAGCAGGAATGGAAATTCCGTCTTATCTCCAGAAGGATTTTATGTGGTGGATTGAAATTTTTTCCAATCCCAATCAATCTAATAAGATTCGTTCGTAGATTTGTTCGAGAAATCTTCTCAGACGCCTCTTTGAACGGTTGGGGCGCAGCTTGGGGTGAATCACGTACGCACGGGTGGTGGTCTGAGAACGACAAGACGCTTCACATAAATGCATTAGAGCTTAAAGCGGCCTTTAACGCCCTTCATTGTTTCGCATCGGACCTCCACAATTGCAACATTTTACTTCGTATTGATAATACAACGGCCCTGGCTTATATTAACAAATTTGGATCTATTCAATTCCCCCATCTATCTGCTATATCGAGGCAAATTTGGCGCTGGTGCGAGGAACGAAATATCTTCCTATTTGCCTCATATA